GATATCAAAAAAGTACTCCAGAGTGTTGTTCAGCATGGGGGTGAGTAGAAAATGAAGGCTAATCATGTTTTGGGTGTACTATTCCTTTAAGTTGAGACAAACTGGGCCACACTGCTTCCAGTCAGAATAGACTCCATGTTTCTCTGCAGACTGAAAATCTGTTCAATGTTTGTCTCATCTAATCCCAAACCGAAAGTGTTTACGCCCTAAAAGATTACCCTGAGTGGAACGTGTTGTGTTATTAAATACTTTAAATACTTGTTGAGTTTCAATATTAAACACTTTCCTGCAGCTCTTTTGTTTAAGCCAGGAGAAAATGTAGAAATATTATTTCATTAGTGTTGTAGTCAAGACCACACCAAGACTATATTGTTCTCGGCCTCTAAAGTTCTTGGCCTTGTCTTGGTCTCAGTAATCCTTGGTCTTGGTGGGTGTGGTCTTGACTAAAACAATATATTTAATATCAATAGATCAGACACTCACTGCGATAGCGCGGCAGCCACGGTTGGTGCTTGCCACTAAGCATCCCTCTGTAGTCGCCATGGGAACCTGGAACTGCTTCCCATCCAGATGTAGCGGCCCTGCTACCCCCACTGGTACAGGGATGTAACCAATCACATTCTCACAGCAGGTCCCCATGACCTAGAGATCAAATGCTGGTTAAAGGCAGAATAGTGTGACACACCATGTCTGAGTACGTGTTTGGGGGGGGGGGGTCTCCAGGCTCACCTTGGAGTAGTCGTAGTTGTGGTATGGTAGGGAGGAGAGCGCAGAGGGACAGGAAAGCTTTGTAGAGATCATCTGTCTGCGGATGTCCACCCCTCTCTCTGGTGTCTCCATCAGAGCCTCCAGTTTGTACGCTGGGATGTGTTTGGAGGCCACCAGCAGCATCACCTCAGCGTCGTTTAGATGACGTGGTCCCAGCTGCAGAAACATTATCAGAGTTGGCCATTATCTGAGAAGGAAGAGCTCACTAATGCCTCTGTGAACTGGAGCCAAACCCAAACTGCCATCATTACCTCAGGGTTGTTAAGGATGGACACACATTCATCAAGTCCTCTGGGGTTCTGATTCTGCGGCACACTTGGCTCGGTGTTCTCAGACTTGATCTTCACATCTTGTTCTCCTATGACAAACAAGCTCTTCTCCTGGCGGTCGGTGGATGGGGCAGGAAATGGCCGGATAACTTCATCTAGTGAGGGAAGGGGGAATAAGTCAACGCGCCACACGAGCCAATCAGTGTCACCGCCATCAGCAAGGACAGACTAACCTCTCTCCTCCCTGCAAACGGGAGCAGGGGCTGCTTGTATGGGTGCAGACGGCTCCTTCATGCAGCAGGTCTTGTTGTACTGTTGGCCTGGGCTCGGGGGCGCCTGAGTGATGGGGTTCCTGAGGGACAGCGTGGACTCCATCTCCACTTGCTCAAAGAAGATGTACTTGATGGCCAGCAGCAGGGCCAGGCTCAGGCAGATGACTTGCTCTACGTCCATGGTGACCATTCTGCAGGATGAACAGGACAAACAGGCACCGAGTGGGTTACAACAAGCAAGGGAACACACTTTTATGAAAAGAATAAAACTTGTTTTTATTTATTATTTGATGAACAGGCCTTTTTCTGCAACATGCCCCACTTTGCCGTCTACCTATTTTGTTACATTCTAACCTTTAATTTAAATGTCTTATCATCATGATTTATCTGTTGAGCTACACAAAATAGTTCACGCTGGTAAAATGCAATGTGAAAATATAAATACATATATAACTCTATATAAATACACTACCGTTCAAAAGTTTTGGGTCACATTGAAATGTC